GTTATGGCGTCACCAGAGACAGTGAGCAGCAGTGAGGTTCGAGAGGCCACGCAGCTTACCATCGGCCGAAGGGTCAGACCCGTTTTTTTTTTTTCTTTTACTCAAATGCACTCAAATGCAGATTGTTAGCAGGTTGACCCATGTTTAAAAACCTGTGTTAACCCGCTAATTTCAGTGAGAATGAGGCTTAAGAATAATATATATGCTAAGATAAAACCTATTATATCGTTGCTCTAACTGTATGTTGAGAGCGTTTAGCAACCACCATCAGGTTTTCTTCCAGGATTGTCCTTTATTGGGTCTCAATCATCTCATCTTCCATTAGCTCAAGCCCACAGCATGATGCCGCCACCAAAATAGCTTGTAGCAAACTGTGAAGGGGATTTCTTGTGCGGGATTTCCCAACTTTACACTTCTTTTTGCCACTCATCCAGTACACAGGTTTATTAAGAGAAAAAAACATTTGGTTATCCTCTTTGTAGAATTTTTCTTCTGAATCTGAAGATTACTGATGTTTCCTGAGGTTTACCAAGGGCTGTATGTCTATCTTCCCTTCCTGTTCATTTGCTTAATAAGTCATGTTTTGTTAGGTGTGTAGTTGTCCCAAACTCTTCACGCTGAACAGTAATCTGTGAGATGTTCATCTTGGAAAAGTGTTTTAAAAATATATCCCTGCTTTAAACTTCTCATTAACTTTTTTTTCCTTTCCTATCTGCTGGGCTCCTTGGTCTTCATGGTGCTGTTCGTTCTCGAATATTCTTTGACAATCCTCCTTCAAAGGAAATATGGAGTGATATTGAGATTAGATAAACACAGTAGGAATATATATACTGTTAAAGTCACTTCTGAAGGTAGTTGGTTAGACAGAATTTTATTTAGGGGTAGCATATTTAAGGCAGCTGAACACAAATGCACTCCCACACTTTTCTGAGTTTAACTTCTCTGATCAGAAAAGAGGCAGCAGGAACGTGGGGTGAGGCAGCAGGACCTGAGGCAGCAGGTCTTGAATAAAGAAGGAACAACCGGTGGAGCTGGAAGCATCGGAAAACCATCCATAAACCAGCAGGCGGCCACTAACAGTAGGTCTGCCTTTCTGATGTCCCGCTTGTCTGCTTCATATCACTACTGATGATTCATGTGTTGCCTTTTAAGAGTCAGCAGGTCAGCCATCATCCGCCACTCCAATCAGCAGAACAGCAGGCAAGTAAGTGACATTTTTGGATTTTATATTTCCGGAACAAGATTGGGAAAAAAAAAAAAAATAACCAAAAAATAAACTTAACCTGTTTGAATAAACTAGGAGAACTAAGCTTACTTTTTCAACATAACAGCAGAAATACAGCATTTCTTCAACAACCCTTTTTTGACTGTGAGGTCATCTCTGAGTGGTTTTGTCTCCTATGCAGGGCCGCTCCTGCTGCTGTCTCACTCAAGAAATGTTCCTCTGCTGAACCACCCAACGCTAAAAATGTCAAACAAATGCTTCTGGACTGGTGTAGAGCCAAAACAGAGCCATATGAGGTAAATATTCATCCTGCTGGCTTTTTGCTCTGATTTACTGCCCATCTTAACTGTGTGCAGCTCTGTCCCTAAAGCTCATTTGGCCTTAGCTCTTGGAATTCTTCTCTCCTGTGACTAAAACAGGGGGTTGACATCCAGAACTTTTCATCTAGTTGGAAAGATGGCATAGCCTTCTGCGCCTTGGTTCACCGATTTTTCCCAGATGCATTTGAATACTCCACCCTGAACCCCTACAAGCCGATGGACAACTTTCAGCTGGCTTTCAGCACTGCAGAGTGAGATCTCGTTTCTTCAGTAAAGCATGAATAAATGTAGTCTTCTGAGAGCATAATGTCTGAGTTATCTGTGCTGACATCCTGTCCCCAGGAGGCTGGCAGGATGCCCACCTCTGCTGGATGCTGAAGACTTGGTCCGCATGAAGGAGCCGGACTGGAAATGTGTGTACACATACATCCAGGAATTTTACCGCTGTCTGGTGGAGAAGGGCCTGGTTAAAACCAAGAAACGCCCACAAGTCTGAGAGTCTGAGAATCACTGCCATTTATACAGATAAACACTCTCCCAGGACAGGGCTTTGTGATTGTTTGCAGATAAATATTTAAAATTCATTCACAATTATTCTACTATGAATGCACAGCGACTAAAGGCCAGTGTTGGGTTACAGAGAGCTGACGCTGTCTGTGATTTAGGAGAACAGCTGGTGTTGAGGATTAGTTCATTCCTATGAGATTACACATCTGCATTAATCCCACTGTGAGTCTGAGCATAATCTTGTGATGATGATGATGCTCCTCGGGACCCCAAACAGTCTGAGAATGAGGTAAATACATACCAATTTCTTTATACAACTTATATAAACAGCAAATGTATTTAATGTATTATTTAGCCTAAATGTTAGAGAGTAAAACAGTCTTCTTTTAATTCAAACACCATGTTATATTCTTGATGTAAAGATAGCAGGTCCCTATACATATTGGGCTTTCTGTATAGAACTGCCTCTGATTTCCAGATTTTCTAACTGCTCTAACACAAAAATTTATTAAAGTTTTTAAATAAAACATGGTGCTTATTATCCCACCAACTGTCCCCAATTTTGAGTCTTCAGCATGCAGCATTATAAAAAGTATTGTCTGATTGGGGTCACAAGTTGAAATGCGTCATAGATGCTGACATCTCTAACAAATAGAACGTTTCCTCTGATTTGTCTCACAGTGAAAACCAAATATTTACCTAAACCATTTGAGTTATGGAAATTTGTATTTATTTTTATTTATTTTTTTGCTGAATGTTAGAATATTCTTCAAAGAAATCAGCCAAGATATCAGGAAGAGAATTATATAACAGTTTTCAGATGCTTAAGGTTACATGATTCTGTTGGAATTATAAACATAGGAAATAGACTATAATCTGATTTAACTGATGGTTGGCCAAAATTACTAACTGAGAAGTATGGAGGTGAAAACTATAAGTCGTGGCATGTTTAGTATGATGGAATGGTGCACTTTAATAACCTAATGTGTGAGCATATGTGGGTCTTCAATGACCGTTATAGACAGGTTTATTACAAATAGGGCTATTTCATTCCCTTGTTTCCGATTTTAAAAAGTATATGCTTTTGTGTGTGTGTGTGCAAGGGAGCCTTAAAGAAAACACTTTATGCATTTGCAGATGTTCTGTCATGAGCAATGACCCATGATCCCAATAAAGTATTGAGACAAGCTTGTTGAAGCTAAATGTTTACCAAAAAAATAAGTCTACCAAACCCAAAGGAAATGTGTGTAAACATCTTAAATGTGAGGAAACTCACGGAATGATCTGTCTCACTTTAATCCGGCGTAAACAAGAACGTTTAATCTATCTCAGACATGTGTTTGATAATACGTTTTTTATTAGATGTGTACTTGTTTGATCATTTATAATCTATAGAACATGTCTAAAACTTGTAGTACTACATTTACTATAAATTAATCCTGCCATTGGTTCTGAAAACGGTTCAATTTACCTGTTTTCTAAGCCAAAACAAGCCTTTGTTTGGACTACTCTATAAAGCTTGGAATCCAACTCTAATTCTGACATTTTGAATTGAAAAAGCTTCCTGGATGGGAAGCAAAAGGTCTTCGATTGATTATGAAAGCATTGTCTATACTCTTTGTTTTTCATTAATTGGAAAAGAGTAGATTTAAGTAGAGATTTAACAGTGAAATGTTGATAAAATACATTACTGGGCTCATTTGATAACTAATATGAAATCAAGCTTTAGCACTTTAGTCAAAACACAATGCCAGGACTCCCATAATATTTCAGAGCCAGTTTGGAGGTTAACGTTTCCCAATTAAAAATGAATAATAAGATGAGATAATACGTGAACAGTTTTCTCAGCAGAGGGACATCTGAGCCTAACATAATAGCAAGGGTAGGTTTCATTTCAACTTTGGTAGGGACACTATTGGTCTGATGTCATTGGTCCTATGCAAAAATATGCATGTGTGGAAATCAGGGTGTATTGCATTTAAAGAGAAAAGCAGCATTTCTTGCTACATTTATACAAATTTTATAAGCACTACACACACTAGATGCTGTTTATCAATGACTGAAGCTTAACTGGCTCTGATGAATGAGGAATTAGGTCTTTTTTCCCACTTTGAAAAGGTTTGCATTTGAAATTACCAGCGACTATACAGTAGGTAAATCTGTGCCTATTTAACAGATTATAGTCTAAATATGTCTGTTATATGTGGATTTATACTTTTTTTTTATTTTGAAGATATAGAATTGTGCAGAGGTAAAAAGAGGTAAAACCCACTCTTTTAAATGTTCTCTTTGTATCATGAAACAAAGCAAAATAATAGATTCAAGAGGCGCCAAATAAATGCATTGTATTTACATGTGCCCTGGAACTAGAAGAGGAACTGACAGAGCATTTAATATATTAACCTCACTCTACAAGTTGTACATCTAGGATGTAGTTACTCTGTTTAACCCATTTCATGTATTTTATTTAGGGCTGAAACAATTAATCGGATTAATCAATTATTGAAATAATGTCAACAAATTTACGGTAGTATTAAATTAATCGTTAACTGGAGTATAGAGACTCTAAAACATGTATTTAGCTCACAGAGCGACCCATTTAGAGCAGGAATTATACCAAAATTGTAAAAAAAAAAAAAAAAAAAAAGATAAAAATGTTGCATTTTAGATAAAACATGTTTTTGCCTGTCAATATTCTCTATCCAGAACTCCTCTACTGCTGCAACAATGCTGTATTGTAAATGATAAACATGCTATTCACATGTTATTGTTGGTAGGGACAAAAATGTTGGTAGGGACATGTCCCTATGGTCCCTATGCAAACCTACGCCCATGCATAATAGGTTTAAAAAAAAACTTTATACTTGAATATAGAGGAATAAAAAAATGTTTAATGCTGCAGATTTTGGTATTAAATGTTGTCATTTAGATGCATGAACTTCCCTGGTGCATAAAAGTTTATAACACTGTTATAGCCTAAGAAACTAATCATAGTTTATTGACATGTTGATCAATGCAACCAATCAGTGACGCATAGTTATCGGATTAAAGCGTCCCCCGCAGGACAGATGCGCTGTTGTTTCTGTACTTTGGCAGCTTTAAATTTCTCTGCCCGCCCCCAGCATCCGTGGATGAGGGAGGGATGGAGGGAGGGATGGAGAGGTGCAGTCCGGTAGGTGAGGTACAGCAGCCGGGATGCCGCTGTTCGCGCATCAGCTCCGACTCCAGCAACTCCGCTGCACTCAGCCAGCAGGAAGGATCAGGACGCTGCAGTCTGTACTCACTGGTTTCCATTTTAGCACCAAGAATCAACATGCACAGGTCCGGGCGCACGACGCGTGACGGCTCCCCGTCCTGACTGCAACGTGACGAGACATCCAGAACCGACGGGTCCGACCTGCTGCGGGCTGCCTGCGCTCCATTATTCGATCCTGGCTGCTGGTGACAGGCTGGTGGCTTTAATCTGTCACTGTGTTATGGGAGAAAAGGGAGACTAATGTTATTCTGTTTAGTTTATTTATGATATCACCCTTGCGGTTCACCTTGGACTTAAAAAAAACGCATAAGAGGTAAGACTTGATTTTTCTCCTTGTAAACTGTTCCAGCTTATCTTTTCTGAGTCCAGGCTTTTATCTTTTTTTTTTTTTTTTTTTTTTTTTTTTTTTTTTACATAAATCTGTTCCTCAGACTTGCAGACTCATGGGTTGCAATATTAAATAAGGCCCATTTATTTCTTGTAGCATTTGAAAGTTTCCACTCTGAAAGTGGATGTCACAGACAAGTTTCTCTGTCAGACAGAGAGATATTTGCATGTGTTGAATAATTAAAGGAGAGGTGTATGGTTTCTGTGTTAGGCACACAGACAGTAAAATGGAGGTGGGTCTGTTGCCCTCCTTTAATGTAGTCCATCCTCCTCCTTGTGACCTGCGCCAGTCTGTCTGACATCCTTTGATGTGCACTCTTATCAGCAGCACAGCTGTGCATCCCATCTCATGCATCCTTGATTTTTTTTTACTAATGCACCTTTCACTTATGCAGTGGAGAATATAATGCATTCCATAGAGGGGTCAGGGGTTGACGAGGCACCATTTCATTTGAACCATAATCTAAAAGCATTAAGTTAGTTTTCCAGCCCAGTTATTTACCAATATGACTAGTAATCTTCTGTGAGGCTGATATGCAAATACAATTCAGACAAGTGGCCTTAAAAACAGGGAGACAGCAACGCTTGCCCTGCTGTTAAAACACTCTCCAAGTTCTCTTAAGCCTTTGGACATTATAGAGATCACCATCCATCTATTTTCTCCCACTTAGTCTTTGTTGAGGTCGCGGTGGGGCCAGTGCCTATCTCCGGCAGTCTATGGGCGAGAGACGGGGTACACCCTGAACAGGTCACAAGTCTGTTGCAGGGGTAGGATTAGGGCAACACAGAGACACACAACCACGCACGCACATACTCACACCTAAGGACAATTTTAGAGAAGCCAATTAACCTAACAGTCATCCTTGTTGGACTGTGTGAGGAAGGCAGAGTACCTGGAGAGAATCCATACAGAAAGACCCCGGGCTGGGAATTGCACCCAGTATCTTATTGCTGCAAAGCAACAGTTTTACCCACTTTAATCATTTGATCTAGGAAAATTAAATGTTATTCCTATACATTCTTGTTAAACTGCCTTTATCCTGACACCCTTAAATAATGTCACCCAGAATGGTTAAATGGTGTTCACTTGGTAAACGGAGTCCACCTGTGTGATTTCATGTCAGTATAAAACCAGCTGCTCAGAGAAAGCCTCAGAGCTTTTTAGGGAATGATGCATCCTAAAGGAGTAAAATTAAAGTCATAGAACAATATCCCAGGCCTTAAACATATGAGTCTTCTTTAATCACCTCAAAATTAAAAATGAATATCACAACTGTAAAGCTGGCACAGCTTGTAAGAGACCACTGGTGGCCGAAGCAACCAACAGGCTAGTGGTAATGCACCTGAGGTTTGCCATATGTAGGGGCAGATTCTAAAAGTGCTTGGTCTTATATAAAATACTATACACCACAGAGAAAGCATATCATTGATGAGGTAAGGTGGTGGAAATATCATTGTTGGGATTGCTTATGATCAGAATATATGGGAAGATGGGTGGAGCTAAATATAGAGAAATGGTGTAAGAAAACCAGTTAGAGGCAGTAAAGGACTTCAGATAGAGGTGGAGCTTTTTCATCTAGACTCGAATCATACAGCTTAAAGCATCAATAGGGTGGTGCATGTATGTTAATGCGTTAGGACGAGTTAAAGAACTTAAAACGAACTGTGAACCCTGCTGGAAAGCTGGAAATGTGTTCAGAGTTGCTCTCCGCCCCGTCTGACTTAGGTCAAGCTATATAAGAAAGAAGAAATCATTAAGTCTCTTGATGGATAAAGTCGGAAGAAGAGGTGTATCCCAAAAGTCTTGCAGCTTTAATTTAAGCAAATTCTGGTTCTATAAAGTAGTGACATCTGTAGAGTTGATGATGCCATCATAAACCTGCTTAAACAAACCCACTGTCAT